TGTAAAAATCGACGCGTTTCAGAAAGGCGGGGCATAGAGGAGAAACAATAATGTACAGTATGTGGAAAATAATGTGTTTTTTGAACCTTAAACCGCATAAACACATTTCATTACACCAAATACACAAAATAATGTTATTTTTAGCAACATCATATGACCCCTTTAAATTAGATTAATTTTATTGACAACATTAACAACAATGTGCTAATTCGAGGCTATAAGGATAATGTGTATGCAATACGTTTTGTGTAAAAAAATTTAAAATGGTTACAATATAAATAGCATAATATTAATATAATTAGCAATAAATATAGTTTTACATTATTACAAATCTTGACAGTTTGAAAGCAGCAGAATAGGTTAAATCAAATTCCAACAAATACATTTTTTTAAAAATAGATTTTCTGTGGAAACTGAGTGGTAAAATCTTTTAAACATAAATCTAACAATTTATTTTAAAATAATTCATTCTGCTTAATTATTAATTCAGATAAACCTAAAATATATTTGAACACATCTTGTGAATTTATTGTATTATAAATCTGATTAGATTAATTAAAAAAACAAGACAGAAATACTAAAGTTTTGTTTTTCCATTTAAAAATCTTCTTACGTGCATCTAATATTATTTCAATATTTTTAGATCAGTTTTGCATCTGCTGCACAAAGTTTGTAATCCAGCTCGGATCTGATCTGTGTTTGTGTCTCCTCTCATTGGTTTCAGGTATATCGAGTCTAAGAAAGACAGAGTAACTGTTGTGTTCAGCACAGTGTTCAAGGATGACGATGACGTCATCATCGGGAAAGTGTTCATGCAGGTTCGCTCATTTTATCAATCTTGACCATTTCTGTGCTGCCTTTTGCTGTTGACACACATGCCCTCTGGGTGTTTTGCAATCCAGCCATTTTTTGTCATGGTTTCACATTTAAATGACAAGGTTAAACCACCGTACGTCAAGCAATGCTGTCATTTCTGTATTTACAGAATGAAATGGCTTCATTTAGACTGACCTCAAAACTTATGAGCTCATTGTTAGAGCTGTATGCTTGTCACTTGTTAAGTCATTTTATATCACTGTAACGTATGTACAGTAGCCCCAAAATGTATTTGGACAAATAGGCCACAATTGAAAATGCATAAATATGTTTGCATTATTTAAAAATATTTTAAATAAATATATAAGCAAACACTAACTTCCAAAGTTTGTATCTAATGCAATGGCAACGTCATTTTGGACCCGTATCCGGGTCCGCAGAGTTTAACTGGTTTTAAGGCCTTTTTAAGTGTCCAAAAATGTTTTGAGGGCTACTATAGGTATATTAAAAAAAAAAGATTGTTTTTTGCTGATGTATAAAAATGTCTAAAGATTCTTAAAACAAGATAAATTTACTTGAGAAGCAACACTGAATAAGATATTTAGACTTGTTTTCATAGATAGTGTCTTTAAAATGTATTTTGTCTTACTGCACTAGCATAATTTTATTTATTTTAGAAAAAAAGTTCTAATATTTTATGCAATTTTTTCTTATAAATGTATCCTGTTTCAAGGATTTTTAGATATTTTAACTGAAAAAGAAGACTTAAATATCCCTCAGTGTATATGCTGCGTTCATTTGATCACAATACACAGTAAAAACAGTAATATTAAATATTATTACAATTAAAAATAAATGTTTTCAACATGGAATAAAAAATGAAAATGTTAATTGATATTTGGCCTTAATTCAGATTTTATTCCTCATAATTCAGATTTTTTTTCTCTCAATTATGTATTTTTTATATATAATAAATATATATATAAATTCAGAAATTTGAACTCACATTTTGAAGAAGATGATTTTGTTGGGATTATGAGATAAAAAGTCGCAGTTACCTTGTTTACTATTATTCTGTTGCAGAAACAAAAAATCTGTATTGCAAGAAAGAAAGTCAGAATTACGAGAAAAAAGTTGCAGCGAACTTTTTTTATTTATTTTGTTTTATTCTATGGCAGATATGGGCTTCCATAGTTTTGTATTTTAATATATTTTATAATGTCAAGTCAAGTCAAGTCAAGTTTATTTGTACAGCGCTTTTCACGATACAAATCATTGCAAAGCAACTTTACAGCAAATTAAGTTTCTACAATATTTAGTGGTAGCTTATCAGTGGTGACTGTCAGTCAATGTACATATGGCAGAAATGTACAGAAAAATCAATTTAAGACGTAATAAAACAGACGATGAACACTATTAACAGCAATTATTATATGATGCAATCAAACTTATAGCAAAATGTGGTAGTTCTGTATGTTGTTTCATAATGCAATTCTTTTTTTTCTGGAAATGTTTGCTTTTTTATAATCCATTGAATGAAATTTCTTTACAAATACAGGGCATTTCTAGTCTAATTTGACTACCTTCACATAATAATTTCAGCGGTGAAACCACCACCAGAACAGCTGTTTGTTGGTGTTTTGACAGTCATTATGATGACAGGACAGACTGATGCCTGTGTTTCTCTGTGTTCAGGAGTTTAAGGAGGGCAGGAGGGCCAGTCACACGGCTCCTCAGGTGCTGTTCAGTCACAGAGAACCTCCTCTGGAGCTGAAGGACACTGACGCCGCAGTGGGAGACAACATCGGCTACATCACTTTTGGTTTGTATCATGAGGTCACATACACATAAACATTAATTTAGCGTCTGTACTTGAAAATGGCACTTGGCAAGTGTTCATTCCAGACCCTGGTTGAACACTATTATCAACCACAGCTGCTAGTTAGAACAAAGTTAAATATAGACTCTCGTCAGGTTCACTTGGTACATGGTAATTTGGACGTTACGAGGCCAGAACAAAGTGCTGCTGCTTACCTGTGACAGGTGCACTTTTTATTTGCATTCGGATCAAGAGAGCAAACGCCCAGCTTCTCTTCATGGCAGTTACACAAACCTCTTAATGAATTAAAAAAGTGCCACACCCTTTTATCAAAGCCAACAACATTTGCCAGCGCTATTCCACTTCAGTTTTTCACGCAACCAGGATGCATCTAGAAACATGCAATGTTTACTGAGTGCTTATTTAGTTCTGTTTTATTTGTTCATGCCGCAAGAAATGCAGAGCAGCAGTAACTGAAAATACTAATCTTTGTTACAGATTATCTTATTAAATGTATTTAGTTAATAAAATTGATCTTATACCTTTAGTATTACACACAGACATCAGTTCTGGTTTCAATTTCATAGATTTATATAATAACCCTCTATAAATAGTTACTGCACTGCAAAACGACTTCTCAAGTTTTTAATTAGTCTTTTTGCATATTTTCCAGTTTAAAGGCACAATATGTAAGTTTTGGCCGCTAGAGGGCGCGTATTCAAAACAAACAAAGAAGCAAAGGCATATTTTGATGACGCCGTTACTGAGTGTGGAATCATGGGAGTTGTCGTCTTCATCCCCACAGCCGACGCAATCCGACGGGACTCGGGCAGAAATCATGTTCATGGATGAGCTAATGATTTATTAATGTCGTAGTATGAAGCAGGGTGAGACTGAAAGCCGTCGAAGCGAAACGAGGCCGCTGAACGAGCGTGACACACGGCTCGAAAGCAGCAGGGCTTTTATTATGCCACAGTCGACTGCTTCTGCTCCTTCCGGTCATGTGTATGTGGGGTAAAGCAGCGCTGTTTTATCATACTAGATAAAAAAGTATGCAAAAAAAATCGAAATATTCAGAAAATCACATTTAAAGTTGTCCAAATTAAGTTCTTAGCAGTGCATATTACTAATAAAAAAGAAGTTTTGATATATTTATGGTAGGAAATTTCCAAAAATCTTCATGAAGCATGATTTTTACTTAATGTCCTAATGATTTTTGGCATTAAAGAAAAATCGGATAATTTTGACCCATACAATGTATTGTTGGCTATTGCTACAAATATACCAGTGCGACTTCTGACTGGTTTTGTGCTCCAGGGTCACATATATAAAATGTATTAATTAATACCTCAACGCGGTTCTATCGAAGATAATTCGATCTGTGATTGTCACACAATGAAATAATCTACATCGTCAAATTCCTGAGAATGAGAGCTTTCTTGTGATATATGACTTGACTTTTTTGTGAAAAATATATAAAATACACATTCTTCGTAAAAATTATTCGCAATGGTTAGGCGGAAATTCGTGTGTGGGACGAATACATTTCTAAGCTTAATTTTACTGCTTTATGAATATAAAAACCAAAAGGAATTGTAAAGAAGACACTCCAAGCTTTCAAATGAACCCATATATGGGCTGATACCATATAAGGAAGGCTATGTAAATGAAGCATAAACATTTTTAACGTCATTTTGGACCCGTATCCGGGTCCGCAGAGTTTAACTGGTTTTAAGGCCTTTTTAAGTGTCCAAAAATGTTTTGAGGGCTACTATAGGTATATTAAAAAAAAAAGATTGTTTTTTGCTGATGTATAAAAATGTCTAAAGATTCTTAAAACAAGATAAATTTACTTGAGAAGCAACACTGAATAAGATATTTAGACTTGTTTTCATAGATAGTGTCTTTAAAATGTATTTTGTCTTACTGCACTAGCATAATTTTATTTATTTTAGAAAAAAAGTTCTAATATTTTATGCAATTTTTTCTTATAAATGTATCCTGTTTCAAGGATTTTTAGATATTTTAACTGAAAAAGAAGACTTAAATATCCCTCAGTGTATATGCTGCGTTCATTTGATCACAATACACAGTAAAAACAGTAATATTAAATATTATTACAATTAAAAATAAATGTTTTCAACATGGAATAAAAAATGAAAATGTTAATTGATATTTGGCCTTAATTCAGATTTTATTCCTCATAATTCAGATTTTTTTTCTCTCAATTATGTATTTTTTATATATAATAAATATATATATAAATTCAGAAATTTGAACTCACATTTTGAAGAAGATGATTTTGTTGGGATTATGAGATAAAAAGTCGCAGTTACCTTGTTTACTATTATTCTGTTGCAGAAACAAAAAATCTGTATTGCAAGAAAGAAAGTCAGAATTACGAGAAAAAAGTTGCAGCGAACTTTTTTTATTTATTTTGTTTTATTCTATGGCAGATATGGGCTTCCATAGTTTTGTATTTTAATATATTTTATAATGTCAAGTCAAGTCAAGTCAAGTTTATTTGTACAGCGCTTTTCACGATACAAATCATTGCAAAGCAACTTTACAGCAAATTAAGTTTCTACAATATTTAGTGGTAGCTTATCAGTGGTGACTGTCAGTCAATGTACATATGGCAGAAATGTACAGAAAAATCAATTTAAGACGTAATAAAACAGACGATGAACACTATTAACAGCAATTATTATATGATGCAATCAAACTTATAGCAAAATGTGGTAGTTCTGTATGTTGTTTCATAATGCAATTCTTTTTTTTCTGGAAATGTTTGCTTTTTTATAATCCATTGAATGAAATTTCTTTACAAATACAGGGCATTTCTAGTCTAATTTGACTACCTTCACATAATAATTTCAGCGGTGAAACCACCACCAGAACAGCTGTTTGTTGGTGTTTTGACAGTCATTATGATGACAGGACAGACTGATGCCTGTGTTTCTCTGTGTTCAGGAGTTTAAGGAGGGCAGGAGGGCCAGTCACACGGCTCCTCAGGTGCTGTTCAGTCACAGAGAACCTCCTCTGGAGCTGAAGGACACTGACGCCGCAGTGGGAGACAACATCGGCTACATCACTTTTGGTTTGTATCATGAGGTCACATACACATAAACATTAATTTAGCGTCTGTACTTGAAAATGGCACTTGGCAAGTGTTCATTCCAGACCCTGGTTGAACACTATTATCAACCACAGCTGCTAGTTAGAACAAAGTTAAATATAGACTCTCGTCAGGTTCACTTGGTACATGGTAATTTGGACGTTACGAGGCCAGAACAAAGTGCTGCTGCTTACCTGTGACAGGTGCACTTTTTATTTGCATTCGGATCAAGAGAGCAAACGCCCAGCTTCTCTTCATGGCAGTTACACAAACCTCTTAATGAATTAAAAAAGTGCCACACCCTTTTATCAAAGCCAACAACATTTGCCAGCGCTATTCCACTTCAGTTTTTCACGCAACCAGGATGCATCTAGAAACATGCAATGTTTACTGAGTGCTTATTTAGTTCTGTTTTATTTGTTCATGCCGCAAGAAATGCAGAGCAGCAGATACTAATCTTACTAATCTTTGTTACAGATTATCTTATTAAATGTATTTAGTTAATAAAATTGATCTTATATTACACACATTACACACAGTTCTGGTTTCAATTTCATAGATTTATATAATAACCCTCTATAAATAGTTACTGCACTGCAAAACGACTTCTCAAGTTTTTAATTAGTCTTTTTGCATATTTTCCAGTTTAAAGGCACAATATGTAAGTTTTGGCCGCTAGAGGGCGCGTATTCAAAACAAACAAAGAAGCAAAGGCATATTTTGATGACGCCGTTACTGAGTGTGGAATCATGGGAGTTGTCGTCTTCATCCCCACAGCCGACGCAATCCGACGGGACTCGGGCAGAAATCATGTTCATGGATGAGCTAATGATTTATTAATGTCGTAGTATGAAGCAGGGTGAGACTGAAAGCCGTCGAAGCGAAACGAGGCCGCTGAACGAGCGTGACACACGGCTCGAAAGCAGCAGGGCTTTTATTATGCCACAGTCGACTGCTTCTGCTCCTTCCGGTCATGTGTATGTGGGGTAAAGCAGCGCTGTTTTATCATACTAGATAAAAAAGTATGCAAAAAAAATCGAAATATTCAGAAAATCACATTTAAAGTTGTCCAAATTAAGTTCTTAGCAGTGCATATTACTAATAAAAAAGAAGTTTTGATATATTTATGGTAGGAAATTTCCAAAAATCTTCATGAAGCATGATTTTTACTTAATGTCCTAATGATTTTTGGCATTAAAGAAAAATCGGATAATTTTGACCCATACAATGTATTGTTGGCTATTGCTACAAATATACCAGTGCGACTTCTGACTGGTTTTGTGCTCCAGGGTCACATATATAAAATGTATTAATTAATACCTCAACAAAAAAATGTATACAGCATTTATTTGAAATAGATATCTTTTGTAACAATATACACTACAGTTCAAAAGTTTGGGGTCAGTAATTATTCTTCTTCTTTTTTGAAAGAAATTAATACTTTTATTAATCAAGGTTGTGTTAAATTGATAAAAAGTGATGGTAAAGACTTATATTGTAAGAAAATTATATTTCTATTTTGATTAAATGCTGTGTTTTTTACTTTATATTTATAAAAAATCCCTCCCCCACCAAAAAAAAAAAAAAAAACGTATCACAGTTTCCAAAAAATATTAAGCAGCACAACCGTTTCCAACGTTGATAATAAATCAGCATATTAGAATGATTTCTGAAGGATCATGTGACACTTAAAAAACTGAAGTAATGATGGTGAAAATTTAGCTTTGCATCACAGAAATAAATTACATTTTAAAGTATATTCAAATAGAAAACCATTATTTTAAATTGTAATAATATTTCACAATATTTCGATTTTTGATTAAATAAATACAGCCTTGATACAGCCTTCTTTAAAAAAACATCAAAAATCTTACTGATTCCAAACTTTATGTATAGGTTACCCAAACATGTCACAATTGCAGTGAATTTCATATTATATTTCAAATAAAAATACTGATATAATTTCTCAACAGTGCTGTTTCCTCGACACACCAACGCCAACACCAGAGACAACACCATCAACCTCATCCACACCTTCCGGGACTATCTGCACTACCACATAAAGTGCTCCAAGGTGGGACCCTCCTCAGAAACGCCTATTTGCCCAACATCGACTTGAGTTTGTAATGTGTAATTGCAATTGCTTTGTAATGTGCTTCTCAGTTTGCAACCATTCGGCCCTTTGTATGGCCAAATGAAACAAATTTGTCAGCGTGAAGAAAACTGCTATGAAGTTAATGTCTAATCTTGGGAATGTAGGTGTTTTCTCCTCTCATACAGTAGGTGTGTTTTCTCTCGTTTTAGGCTTACATCCACACTCGTATGAGGGCCAAGACCTCGGACTTCCTCAAGGTACTCAACCGTGCTCGCCCCGACGCTGAGAAGAAAGAGATGAAAACTATGTCGTAAGTGCTGTTTCACAATCATTAGTATTTCACACTTATATGAAACCGCACAAAGTCATCCAGGTCTTTGAAAATTCAATCTTTTTCTCAGTTGAGGTGGTTGATTTGTGCTGATGTTGGTGCATATCTCTGGGTTTTATTCAACACCAGAGGCGTGTGCTTGCAAAAGATTCATTTGTGATAGTGTGTGTTTGAATTTTCATTAATTACACTGAGGCGTGGCACCATCCGCTGTCTCTTAGAGGCTGATCATATCAGAGCAGATTACCATGTACTTTTCATATTACTAACTTAGCTGGTTGTTGTTTGAGCTTGTTTAAACTGAAATGTGGCCAAATGCTGCAGATACGTCTTCTCTGGAATCAAAGGACATTTTTTTTCTAGTAGATTAGAGCCAAAGAGAAATTGATTATTATCAGTAACATAGGAACCTGAGCTCTGGTGAATAATTTTTATATGTCAGTGTGCTTTTAACTTGGAAAACAAACTTTTTAATGACTTCCTAATGAAGGTCAATACATAATCCTGAAGAAAGATCCACCAATTGGAGAAGTTGCTCTTGCCATTGAAAAAGAGCTCAACAGCAACCACCCACTCCCATAATGCACCGTGAAAGAAAAGTCTTATCTTAAACATCCTATATATTTGAATATTTTGCAATAAACCTCTAAAATAAGGCATTTTATACTTAAATTATTCTTCGTGAAGTAATCACAGTTTTGCAGTTTTGCCTTTTCAGTGTCAAATTTCATATAGATTTTTGTTTTCAGTCAAATTCAAATGTTGTGATTCATTTCAGAGCTTGTTGAACTCTTTGAAGATTTTGATAAATGTCTCTGGAAAAATGCATTAGAATTGAATTTAACTTAATTCAATTTAAGAAATGTTTGCATAACCAAGCTGCTAGTCACTGTTGACCTCTATAGTTCATAAAGTATAAAACAAACACTTCTTGGTTGTAATTTATTTTAGAAACTAGATGTTTTCCTCAATCAGTTATTATTTGCACAGTAAAAACGACCTCCTTAGTTAAAGAATTCACAATGACTGGAACGTGAAGTGCTTCTCTATGTCATCAGACTTTAAAGATTCCTGGGTAACACTTTTCAGGAAGTTTTCATTTGCTAACAGTTAATGCATTAAGTATTTTGAACTAACAATGAGCAACCTTTTTCACAACCTTTATTAATATAGAGGGATATTTATTTCTACATAATGTTTATTATTAATTCATGTTTGTTCATAATGCATTAGCTAATGTTTATTTATACAGCTTTAAATGTAAAAAAAAAACATATCATTATATGTAGAAATAGTACAAAGGTCCCATTAGGTGACATTAGTTAATGCATTAACTAACATTAAGCAACAATGAGCAATAAACTTGTTACAGTATTTATTAATCTTTCATTCAAACTATTCATTGTCAGTTCATGTCAGGTCAGGTTCATTAAATAATATGAACAGATGCCACTTTTGTTTTTAAAAATGTATTAGAAAATGTTGAAATTGACATTAAGGTTAATAAATAAGTGTTTTATGTTAGCTAATGTTAACAAATGGAAGCTTATTGTAAAGGGTTATTGTAGAAATGAGCATGCGTTGTTAGTTTATGATAACTGTTGATGCATTAACTAATGTTAACAAACTGAATCTTTTCGTAAAATGTGCTATTGATTTCTGACTAAAGTGTTACAGATTCATCCTTAACTATGTGTATATAGTTTATCCGACATATATATGTTAGTGGTGTCAAAATTAGCGCATTAACACAGGCGATTAATTTTTTCAGTTTAACGCGTAAAAAATATTTAACGCAATTAACACAGGGGCGGGGCTATAGGGTTGGCCACCCCACTCACAACTGCTGCTTCTGTCACTTTTTCTCTTGACAAGAAGTGCATTTATTTAGTCGCAGAACGACTGAAAACGGGAGACATTTCATACGCGCGCTCCGCTTCACTTCAGCGCCAGGTGAGCGCGGAAAAAAAACCACGGCTCTTCAATTGCACTCACAAATGCGCCACTAATGCGCCACAAATGCGCGCTGTAGCCTGTATCCTTTCATATCAAAGCGCGAAATAAACTACGTGCATGCAATGTAGTGGTCAGTTAAGTCATGAAGTTACCAAAAAGGCGATTAAAGATGCCTTAAAACTGTGCATGCATGTAATATATTTTATATAAGTCACATTTTAGAACATGTCTGAAATGGTTTTCAAAACTGTCCTGGAACAGCCCAGCACTGTCTCCCTCATCTAACACACCCGATTTAACTCGTCAGCTCATTAATAGAGACTTTAAGACCTGAAGTGGGTCAGAAAAGGTAAAAAGAGTTGAGAGAAAATATGATGCGTGTCAGATCCGCATCACGTTCAGCAGCGGCAGCTCTTAAAGAAATAGCAGCCAAAATAACCTAATAACCAGCTGCTGTGATGTCTATTAATCAAAGGGCAAAGAAAAAAAGAGGAAAAAAAGAACTTTTATAGCTTTAAGGATTCATCTATATTTATATTAGAATTTAGTGTTTGATAACTTCAGTTTCAATTTCTGTATATTTATGCTGAAGGGCACAAGTAAATATGACATTTATTATAATGGGCTCTTGCTCATCTTTCCACTTTTCCACCTCTAACTCCAGTTGTTCTGCCAACTCCTCTTGCTCATCTTTCCACTTTTCCACCTCTAACTCCAGTTGTTCTGCCAACTCCTCTTGCTCATCTTTCCACTTTTCCACCTCTAACTCCAGTTGTTGTCCCCACTCCTCTTGCTCATCTTTCCACTTTTCCATTGCTAACTCCATTTGTTGTCCCCACTCCTCTTGCTCATCTTTCCACTTTTCCACCGCTAATTCCACTTGTTGTCCCCACTCCTCTTGTTCTTCTTTTACTTTTTCCATCGCTAACTCCATTGCTAACCCCATTTGTTCTGCCAACTCCTCTTGCTCTTCTTTCACCTTTTCTATCGCTAACTCCATTTGTTTTCCCCACTCCTCTTGCTCTTCTTTTGCCTTTTCCATTGCTAACTCCATTTGTTCTGTTAACTCCTCTTCCTCCCCAAAAACGTGGTTGTTGTGATTAGGATTTTGCTCAAGTTCGCTCTGAGAGACCACTTCTCCGTCCACTATTTGTTGCGTGATGATGGCTTTCTTGAGTCCGACGGAAGGTGGAGGAGCTGGAGACAGAAAGCTGGAGGTTAGAGTAAGTCTTTAGTAATTCATTAAGACATTTACAGACATCCCACCTCTCCCGGAATGTCCGGGAGTCTCCCGCATATGATAGCGGCTCCCTGACGCCCGCGAATTATAAACAATTTAATGTTACAAACGGTGCAGAGAGAATCCCTATTTCCACCTGGTATTAAGATGTTGATCCGATAATGGTCAGCCAAGTGGTATAATATTTACCTGGTGTGATAAAGCGTTTACCTACACTTTTTTTAATCGTTTTTGTCGTACCTGTTATTATAATGCGTTTTCCTGGTGTTATCAGTGCGTCTCCTGTGACTGCTTGCAGTTAGATTTCCTTTTATTTAGTGATCATCACTTTCACTTTCGATTCATGAATATTGAATGTACAAAGGGGTGTTCATTCTCTGGGGCCATTTCCTGGAAATGGGGATCAGTGGTGGATTTGCAAAACTGGAAGCCAGTCTCAAATGCATAGAAACTGACTTGTTATCTTCAGATGCAGTGATGGCTGGAAACACTGGACTCGTGACTACCAAACTTGCTGCTGGAATCCATGGTGTGACCAGCTCCGTGGGCACCGGAGCTTGATGTACACTGAATTACTACAAGTTGTAGAGTGGAAGCATATGCTGATGTTTTTTTTTTCAACAGGGTTGTACACACTAGATTTGCATGGGCAGCAAGGGAAAATTCTGTATGGAAACAGAAATATTGTGTGATGTCCACATTGCAATCACTGACAAAAGAGATTTCAAAATAGGATAACACACCACAAATGACAATTCTGTCATTGTTTACATTCCAAACCTGACTTTCTTTGTTCTGTTGAACATAAATGAAGATATTTTGAAGAATGTTGGTATCCAAACAGTTTCGGTTCCCACTGACTTCCATTATGCACAAAAAATACAATGGAAGTCAGTGGGAACCACAAATGTTTGGTTACCAACATTCTTCAAAAGTCTTTTTTCCCAGCAGAAGAAAGAAATAGGCCTACAGGTTTGGTGCAACAAACATGCATAAACATGCTTTTTATATTTGTTCTGAAGTACGCCAAAAAAAAACAAAAAACAAAAAAACAGCAGCATAATGTTTTTGGAAAAAGTCTCTAATGCTTGCCAAGGCTGCATTTATTTAATCAAAAATACAGTAAAAACACTAAACATTGTGAAATATCATTACATTTCAAAATAACTGTTTATTTTAATGTATTTTAAAATGCAGTTTATTCCTTTGATAAAAAGCTTAATTTTCAGCATCATTACTCCATTCCTCAGTGTTAATCCTTTAGATATCATTCTACTGTGCTGACTTGCTGCTCAAGAAACATTTTTTATCAGTATCAGTGTTGAAAACGGTTGTGCTGCTTCATATTTTTTTTGTGGAAATCCTGATAGGCTACATCTCCAGTTGTTCTGCTACTTTCTCTTCCTCTGCTTTCACCTTTTCCACCGCTAGCTCCAGTTGTTCTGCTACTTTCTCTTCCTCTGCTTTCACCTTTTCCACCGCTAGCTCCAGTTGTTCTGCTACTTTCTCTTCCTCTGCTTTCACCTTTTCCACCGCTAGCTCCAGTTGTTCTGCTACTTTCTCTTCCTCTGCTTTCACCTTTTCCACCGCTAGCTCCAGTTGTTCTGCTACTTTCTCTTCCTCTGCTTTTGCCTCTTCCACTGCTAGCTCCAGTTGTTCTGTCAACTCCTGATCCTCCCCAGAAACTTCCAGGTCATTGTGATTAGTAAGATTTTGCTCAAGTTCCCTCTGAGAGACCACTTCTCCGTCCACTATTTCTTGTGTGATGATGATGGCTTTCTTAAGTCCGACGGGAGGAGCTGGAGACAGAACATAGGCTGGAGGTTAGAGTCAGTCTTTAGTAATTCATTAAGACATTTATGTAGCACACCAAAAAAAAAAAAAAAGCACTAGAAGCTCTTAAAAGCAAAGAATTCATTAAGGTTCATCATGATGCATATATTAGTTGAGAAAGCAACATTTTAATAAATATTACTAGGGTCATTCTATGAATCAGGTGCCTATTGTAGTTTAAGAAGATAATTTTGCAAGTTTTTGTACATTTCAAAAATCCCATCAGACAAGTAATTGATTTAAATCTCCCATATTGTCAAAACTGAAATTTCCTGGCTTTTTTTCACGATAACTGAGGTCTAGGGGCTATTTAACTACCATATAAGTTTCAAAACAGTCAGTCCACAGTAAAATGCACACAACCTGCATAAAGTAGCTGTGATTTTTCACGAACCGTTGTGACTTCCGTAAAAAGTTGACGTCAGAACTACACAGTCACCGCCTTCAGTCACCACCCCGAGCACCGCCCACCGTCCCACTCTCCTTTTGCCAAACCCCCAGACAACATCGCGTCCATGCTTTGCTGAGCAAGGACAACATGGAAACATGTCGAAAAGGTTCACTTTAACCACGAAACCAGATCGGCCGACCTGTAACATTACACGTTATACTCAAAGGATGGACGATCTGACAGGATTGTTACTGAGGTGGATCACATCGAACGTGTATAGTAAAGACAAACTCACCGTGTCTATCTAGTCATGATGAAGATGTATA